GGCAGGGGTGATTGGTATCGATATATAATTACCCGGCTAGTAATTGATATATATCGGTCTATTTTTTTTGCTGATGATATAATTAGAAATTACTTATATATTATATATTAAAAATAAAAAAATATTTTAGAAATTTTTAATTTACAAAATATTTTACTATATTAAGAGCTAAAAGTTAATTAATAAAAGTTATTCTATGAGGTTTCATAGAACTACTTTTGAGATTATTTTAATAAAATTTTGAGTAAATTAGTTCTGAAGTTATATAAATGTATATATTATATAAAATTAATAGTATAATATATGTGTTTTTGTAAAATATAGATAGTAGAGTATATAAAATATAATAATAAATAATATAATATAATAATAATAATAAGTTATAAAAAAAAATAAAAAAAAATAAAAATTAACTATCTATACTATAAAGTAAATGATTTGTAAAAATCCATCTTTTTAATCTTACAATTTACAAAATTTTTATAGTATAGAGTTTTATATTTAAAATAATATACTCATAAATTTAATTTCTTTTTTTTTTAATTATAAACAAGTAAAAGCAAAAATATCATTATTATATAAAAGAATTCACTATAAAGCCACAAAATATGATAATATAATCAAATAAATGCTTTTGAATAGAATAGATAATAATTAAAAGAACAGTAATAATTTTTTTTACAACTTAGGCCACACCAAGTTAAAACTCTGTTTAACATAACCCCTCCCTCTTTTTGACTCAAATAGAGGGGTAATAAACAACATTTAATATAAAAATCATATTAACTGTTTAAAAAAAAATTTTTTTATCCAATCAAATCTCATGTTTTTTACTCCCCCTCTTATGTTTAGAGTTGCAGATCATTTATTAGTGTTATGTTAAACAGAGAATCAAATTTGGGTGGTCTTAGGTAGATATATATAAATAATTTTAGAGAATAATACTAGAAAAAAGATATTTAGTGTATTTATTTACTCTATATATATTACTAATTATTTATTTGATTACTTTTTGCTAATAGTTTAGATAAAATATCTAATATTTTCTTGACTTATTTAAAAATTTTCTTTGTGCTTTCTATATAATTATTATTTTTATTATTACCAAGACTTTCTTTAATAAATATATTGACACTTTCTTTAAAAATTTCTTAATATTTTTAAAAATACCTTTTTTATAAAACTTTTTATGATAAATACACTTTGTGCTATAGCAGTTAGATAGTATATATAACTAAAAACAAATACTCTTCTATTCTTTTTAATAAATAGAAGACAGCAATGATCACACAATTTAGAATATAGTTAAATCTCTCTAAAGTAACTCCTATATAAGCATATTTTCTTAATAGACATATTTTTTTACAAACAAACTATTATTAAATATTATAAATTAACCCTTTATAACTGTCACACTTCTCTACAATTACACATTTTTGTATCCCAAGTATGTGATTATAGAGAGTTTGACTGTATAAAGAGTATACTATATTATATATTATTAGTAGATACTATAAGTTTATATATTTATTTAAAGTAGCAAGCTAGTATATTAATAGGAGTTTTTTTTTCTTTTTTCAGGTTTTGAAATAATTTTTTTGCAGTTGTAAAACATCTTTTGAAAATATTGCAAGAAAAAAAGTATAGTTTTATTGCTCAAAAAACTTAGTGTTATTAAAGTATATAGATATTACTGTGTTTTGCAGTAATTGTCTTTAAATATAGTATTATAATTTATAATAAATATATGTTTGATTATATTATAAGCTATAGCATTTTGTAATATATTGGCTCTAATTTTACTATATACATTTTCTATATAATATTTATTAAAATTTGTTAAATATTTCTGTAATAATTTTAAAAAAAGATAGTTAGTATCATTTTGGTAAAATAAATCTTTAAGAAATACAAATAGTACTTTATTGTTATTTTTTTTTTTTTTACTATAACTTGAATATCTAAATACAAAAAATTGCTTCAGTATATTCATTAAATTGACCTAACCGAAATAGAAATACTTTAATATTAAGCATTGCTATAATTAAATTGTTTAGTAAGTTTATCATTATTTAATATTCAATATCTTTGTATGTTTGGCCAAATTTCTTAGTAATTTTATTTTTTATTATGTTTTAATCTATTGTGTAAATTCTAATACAAGATTTATTTGTCAGAATAAGGTTTTATTGCAAATATTTTATTTTTTCTAAATATAAAATAGAAACATTTTTTAAAAAAATAATATCTTAATATAACTTGCTCTTTACTATTTAGTAACACATGAAGCAAGCCCAAAAAAGATATAAATAACTTATTTGTTGTAAAAAACTAATATATTCATATATAAAGTACTTTTCTGACTAGACCAATCTGTTATAACAGGTATAACTTGTATATTTATATGTTGTATTTTGTTGTTTAATGATAAAATAAGGTTTAATACATTAATATAATTATCTAAAGTATGTAAATATTGTTTAGTAAAACTTATAAGTTAAAACTCTTATATTGATCTTGCTTCTTTATTTTCCTCTATATTGTCAATATAAATATATACTATTAGAATTTTAATTAGATCAAAAACATTATTTATTAATTAAACAATTTTGTGAAACTTTTGTAGTTAATAATCTAAATATGATATATTAAAAATTCTAGCATATTGATTAATTAAGTCTAATATTTGCCAAATTGTAAATAGATATATTATTATATATAATAGGCACAGATAAATACTTTGTAATTAGTTTTGCTACACAAGTAACAAAATGGTTTGTGGTTGATATTAATACTATGCTTGGTCTATGAACTTCATGAATAGTATGATAGTTGTAGATATTATAGATATGAAAAAAATTACTCTAAAAAATATACAATATTTTTTAAACTAAATATATAAATTTATTTATTTATTATATAAAATTACATTTTATAAAAAATATTTTTTTGATTTTTGTCAAATATTTATTTTTAATTTTTTTCTATATGCCTCTACTGTATTAGCATAGGCTGAGTACTCAAGTTTTGACATTGTATTAAAGCCTCCCATGTTGTACCTGAAGCTATTAAAAATAATCCAACTTTTAACTTATACTGATTAACAAATTTGTTATACAGGCCTACAATTGTATAATATAATCCAACTATAGATTTTTTTCTTCATTTATACTGTAAGCTGACTATTTCTTTGGAATAATTGAGTTTGTTATATAGGTAAAAAAAAAAAAACCCATAAGCTAGGGATTAATAGCTTTGATCATTTGTTCAAATTTTGTTGGGTCTAGTTCTAAACTAGTATATTCTTGACATTGATGATGATACCATGCTTTTGTTAGTATTTCTATTCCTAAAGCAAATGAAATTTATTCAATTAAAAAAATAAAAATTAATTTTATAAAAAAAAATCTTATTACAGTCTATAATTTAAGTATGCTAACTACATTATCATTATTGATTGGTAAAGGCTCTATTATTTTTTTTGCTTTATTATTGTCATGTGTTTTTTGATTTATGCCCACAGTGATCCCTATCTGGTTCTACGAGTTTACTATAATATGGATGACAAAGTTGTTCTCCAACTTTAAGATAAGGGTATGTTTCTAATGTTCCTTTAGTATAACATTTATTATATGCAAGTTCAGTAATTGTACGAAACTTAACATTGATATTTGTACAGTTAATTATTGAACAAGGACCAAAATTCTTTGCCGGCATTAATATGACTGTAATTACAAATTCAAAATTTTTTTTTATACGTACAGTATAAAAATAGTTAGTCTATAAACTTCATCACTAATATTATTAATTTAACAGTGAACCTTTATTTAATCACCTGAAACTTGATCACAACAAACTTGTCAAGACTAGATTTTCCAGGAAAAAAACCTGTTACAGCAAGATTTTTGTTCACGTTAAAGTTGGCTACGGTAAAATTTGACCGACAAACTTGATTAGGAAAAAACTTGTTCCAACAAACCTTAAAATTAGTGAAGCTTGACTACAAAAAGTTTCACCCAACAGCCGTAGCTACAATAAACTTTACCACCAAATTTTTGTATGTAAAAAACGCGTTAAATCTTTATCTATCAAACGAAATTTACTCAGTTTCTATGAATTATATAAAATTTTAACTGACCAAACTGACCAATCACGATCTATGAAAATCAGGATCAACAGACTGCATATCCGCAGCCAATAAATTATAGTTTTTAATTATGAAATGTAGCATTACATCAGTGTAAATTGTCCGAGAGAATTAAAAATGTATCATGATCTGGATTAGCTATCCTCTCGGTTCTTAATGTCCCGCGGCATGATTAACACAGGATTAATGGTGAATAAAATACACTCTGGCATTGAAATTTATTAAGTGCTGTATAAAATTAAATACATTTAAAAAAATACATATTAAATTGTTAACATAATAATTAATTCTTAATTATTGACTAAAAAAAATTAAGGTTTATTCTCAATCAAAGCTGCAGCCTGTATCCATAATTTACTAGGATCTCTAATACTTTTTTCATCATAGTACAATTTATAATTAGCAGGTCTAAAAGAGAATTCTAAAACTTCATATGGATTTTTAATGCTATAAGCTTCATTTACAGTAAAAGAAATTGTAGTTGCTAAAGGAAATTGTTTAGGCATTAAATAATTATCAAGTAAGGATAAATTTTTTAAATATTGAAAGAAAATGTCAGAAGTAACAACAAATCCACCAGCAAAACATGCAAAAGATAAAGGTTTATTTGAAAGTCCACCAACGGCTACTGTTTTAACATTGACCTCAGCTAATCGTTGAGTAATATGTGCACATGCAGATCCACAAAATCCATTTGTCAAGATTATTAAATTATCAGCAGTCCAGGGAAGAGGTTTTGAAATATTTCCAAGAAATTCACTAATAATTTGCTCATCACTGTTGAAACCCTTTTCAGAGTACCTAATTTTCAAACCACCACGTATATAATAGTTGTTTCCAATAAAGTCTGAGACATTAGTAAACGAAGTATTCGTTTTTTCGGAAATATAATTATTGTTAATGTCGAATTCGTTACCAGAATTTTTGGCAGTAGATTGTTCTATCACAAGTTTTGCTGCCTCAGTAATTTTTACATCAAATGGAAAATTCCTAATGTCCCTAAATAAGAGTTGAGTAATATAATGAGCTATAAAAGCAGCTCCACCTCCATTATTTGTTAAATCCAAAACGACCTAATGTGACAAAAAAAAAAAAAAAAGGTTAATAATCATGAATGAAATACATAATTAAGACTAAACATATCATTAATCATATATTTACCTTTTTAATGCCCATATTTGCAAATGATTGAAATCCTTGATTTATGGTAGATAATAAATCTATAAACAGCAATCCATTTAAAATATATTGATCATCAATAGATTCAGTAGAAATTACAGCGACACCAAAGTCCCGTAATGTATAAAATCTAATGATATAAGCATCAATAATTAATTTTCCTTCTTCTAATGTGGGTACATATTCATCTAGTTCTCTTTTACTCTCATACGATAATCCTGATCTCGCTTGAAGAGGTTGATTTATGCATATATTGTTCCAATAAGAAGTAGAATCAGTAAAATTATTAAACATACTATCATTACGAGCAGTGACTTTCCATCCTCGAGTAATTTTATTAATTTTTCCATCACAATCAAGAGTGTAAGAAATAGTAGGATTTTTCGGAAGTAATATTCGACTAGTGAACTGTTGTGAAAAGCTATCTAAACGAATTTTTCCACCTTGAAGAGTGAGAGATGCAAGGGCATTATTAAATCGAACACCTAAATCTCTTGATGTTCTTATAGAATCGTTAGCATATTTAATAATTACATCCATTGCGGGTTCATCATCGATATGCGTAACTTGACAGTCGATATTTTTTGGATCAATTGAGTCATTAAAAACCTTAATTTGCTAATAAGTACATAGTAAAATAAAGATACTTTTTAATTATATAATTTAATTTTAATATGTACATTCAAATTTACCTGCGTTCCATCATGCTTAACAATTGAATACATTGAAAACTGTTGATCGAAATTAAATGCCTCATAACAAGCAGTATAAAATCTAAATAACATATCATCATTATTATTATGAATTTAATATTATTTTATAGATAAAGTAAAAAGTATACATACGAAGTGTGTGCATCCTTCAATGTTCTAACAACATCTATAATATCATACTAGCATAATTGGCATAAAATTAATGTATAATTTAATAGGTGATTCAAGTAATTTGGAATTTGATAATTTTAATTTTTTATAGTATACAGTAGTATATTACTTACCATAAATTGAATATCAGTTGTATAGTTGTTTTTTAATAGTAAATCTAATTCTGACAACACATCAATAGACCTATAAGTAAATCCTTTTGTTGGAGGATCTCTTGCTTGGTCCAAAAATGAATAGAAATTTGCAAAAATACTCTTTAATGTTTCTATCGTCTATGATTTAATAAGTGATTAACAAACTTTTTTAAAAAAAAAGCTTTTAATATTTTATCATATAAATACCCGTGTTGCATTATCTTTATCAAATGGAAATGCTTCGTAACAAGCTTTTACGTCTTCATATTTAAACAATGATTTTCCAGATATATGATCATTATGAATATTCGCGCATGCATCAACTTTACGTGGATAAGAATTAGCTACGCCGATCAATGTAACAAACAAGAATAATAAACCAAGGTATGTAATTTTCATCTTTAATATACAAATGCAAATTTTCATCAATAAAAAAAAATACCTTAATGCGCTTTCACCTTGAAGCTCTTTATAGTTTTTTTTTTTTTTTTTTTTTTAAATACTTGTAATTCTGGAGATTTTTGCGATCTACCGTAAGCATTTATTGTATTGCAAACCTTTATTTTTCCTAATATGGCTATAAGACATTTCACCTTCATCTATTTTTAAAAGCGTTATTTTAATGTTACTTTATTTATTACATGATCATCCGATATTTTTAGCCTAACTATAATTATGGAAAGCTTTCACCTTTTTGATTCAATGACTATTCTATTTCACTGTGATCAGATGATCGTTCATCGCCGAAAATTAATACAGTTATTTAAAAAAAAAACACACCGCTTCCTAATTCTCCGATTTCCTGATTTCCTAATTTTTCAGCATAATAATTAATAACAAAATTTCTATACCTTCATTAATTTTGAACGAAAGCTGCTTGCTAACATGTTTATCTTCAAAACTTTTTTTTTTGAATTCTCTTAAACATTTAAACCGACCATATTTTGTTCAGGGCTCGAAATAACAATATAATATTTAATAGAACAAAAATTGATTTACATACTACTGTATAAAATTTCTACGTATATAACCGTACGCCATCGGTACAAAAGCTTACCAAATGTGGTTTACAAATTTTTTTCTGGCGTCAATATTGTATCAATTGTGATACAACAATCATTTTTTGTGTCTGACAACCATTGGAGGAATTATCATATTTGTCTTAATTTGGATATTGTCGGAAATAAATCTGATTTTATGTATACTTTAAAGACGTAATTATGTCGAAGTTCAGAGTACTATTTATAATAGTTTTTAACGGAGTTTCAGAGCTAAATTAAAAAATTCTATTATTGAAAGTCACAATTACTAATAAAGACATTTAATGCTTGCTGAATTAAATGGGTAAACATAGTTAAATAATTAACATTTGAAAGGTATATAATATTTGTAAATTGAAGTCTGAATCAAAGACTGTGATTAATTGAGTTTAAGGTATTTTTTGTATGAATGTAAATAAAGGATCACATTAGGGAAAACTAAATAATTCAATTATATGTACTTCTTGTAATTTTGTTATAAGTTCTTTAAGTAGGATACGGACCGTTAGGGTGTGCAACGGCCTATTAAAATGATGGTAATTTCTGGTTTACCTCAGAATCCTGATACTTAAAATTCCGATGCTCAAATCCTGAAAATAAAACCCCGATAGTATTAAAAATTGCTTTCGGGATTTTAAACGTTAGGATTTTGGATATGATAAGCTTATATGATCTAACATAATTAAATCGAGCCCCCAGATTAATATGATTATCGCTATAAATTTTACCAAAATAATTGAAATAATTATACAATATGCTTTTTTTTTTTTTTTTTCTCTTTTAAATTGAAGCTCTAAATTAGATTTACAACTGAAATAGAGCTATTTTTTTAATATTTTTTTTTTTAAAAAAAGTAAAAGAATATTAATAATCGAAACCAAGAACACTAATCATTGGCATTCTATATATTTTTTATAAAAATATTAAAAAAAAAATAAAAATAACTCTATTTCAGTGTAGAGCTAGTCTTGAGGTTCAATTTTAAAAAATTAATATTATTAATTATTTATTTCAATAAATCTAATTTTTGTTTTAATAAGATTGATATATGTGCGTCGATTCCAATAAAAAATCCGCAATTAGTCATGATCTTTAGTGACCCTGCCTATAGGCCGTTGCACACTCTAATAGCCCGTCCCAGCCTAACAACTGGGTCGACCCGCACTTTCGTGTATCGGGTCGGTCGATATAAGAAGTGTTATAATTGATTCTCTTCTGAAGCGTATTTCAAGCTAAGAGATTAATTAAAATTAGTTAGTCGTTTATAACAATGTAGATATTCTTTAGTTAGCTAATTCAGATGATAAGTTGGTAAATAACGAATATAAAATATGGTGAATGAAAATTTTGGGTATTTTCGGGTGTATAGATAATTAATCTGTATAAAATACTAATGTGTTATTCCTTTAATAATAAACTTTTTCAGGCAAATTTTTCTACAAAAAAATATCTAACCGTTATTGTAACGTGTTTAAACGATCTAATCAGGGCAAGGAAAATTTTCAAATTAAAGCTTAAATCAATTATCAGTTTTAATCCGACAGGCATAAATGACACACCCAGTAACTACTTGTGATTTGACTTATCGGGTTATTTCACGCTAAAAAATAAAATAAAATAAAATAAAGGCGGATCTCAGAAATTATTAAAAATGGTATCGGCTAGCAAACAAGATCATTTAACACGTGATCGATTTGTGTTACTACCTATTAATAAATCTAAAAGTTTTTTAAACCTTCTAGCGATGATTTCTCAATAATTACTCGATCAAATTCGGTAAAAATTTTTCTATTTTAATTAAATAGTTACATAGAAGTAAAATAAAAAAAGTTCATTTAACTTCTATACAGAAACCTTGATTTTTTAAAAATATAAACAACATATATAATAAAAGTCTTAGTAAGCTCTGAACTCTAGAGATGGGTTCGGTCAGCTAGTAGTCGGCTAGCCGATCGGCTATAACCGTAGTCGATGTAGTCGACTATAGCGGCTTAGCTGACCGGCTAGCCGATCCCAAATTTTTTATTTTCTGGCTGATAAATCATAATTATTGCTTAATTCAGCATTAAGTGTACAAATTATATATAATTATTGCAAGAAATACCCTAGCTGTCACGTCATGCAGATTCTCTATTTTGATTGGCTAAGAGCGACGATCAAAATTTAGGCTGAACTTACTCAAAAATCTTAATAATAAATCACAGCTACCTATTAAGTGAAAATGTTCCTGGACTAATTTTACCATAGCATAGGCATATTTCCCTAAAAATTTATATTTTTGTAATAAAAAAGTTAAACCTTAATTCCGGCCAAAAATTACGTAACAATTGTACAATGCGGGCCAAAATTTTGTAGACCACGGCAGTTAGCTAATTAAAATTGAGAATCTACCGTGGCAAAATTGGTGCGACATCTAAGATATTTTATTGTAAGAAGTAAACGATAGGTATCTTTATCTAACAATCGAGCAATTTTTGTAGATTATTTGCAAGAATACAGGATTTCGATAATAAATAATCACAGTTTGCAAATTGTCCCAATTTCAATAATTTTATTTTATTTTAATTCTATAAACTTGCAGAATTAAATTAAAAAAAATTTCATCGGATTTGAATCAATGGTTCTTGAGAAATCTTTATTTAAAGTTAAAAAAAAAAGAAAATTTACTGATTTTTTGTAAAATTCGAATGTTTTTGAATCTATCAATTTCAATAAATTTTTTTTTATAATTAAAATAAAAAAAATTACTGAAATTAATCGAGTAGTTACAGTGAAATCTTCAAAATTTCGTATACATTTTCAAAATCTAATACTGATCAAATTTGCAGATCGTTTGGCCTACGAGGATAAGTTTTAAATAGGCAAAAGATCTACAAATTTGACTAGAATTAGATCATTTTGAAAATGTAGATCCAGTGATGTAAATTGGATTTGCGCAGTAGGCGCAGCACACATAGATTTAAATTTGCACATCACTAGTCAAATATAAGAAATTCGACTACCGAATGAAATAGCCAATTCGTCCTGAATTCGATAGCCGAATATTTGGCTAATTTTATAGGATTATTGGAATAATTCGATCTGAATTAGATAG